AACAAGATGGAGCCCCGCATCGTGAAAGCTTTTAGCTAATCGCATTCTAGCCAAGGACACCAGCACAGAAGCTACAGGCGCATACTTTGTTACGGATATGGAGTGGCAATCATGCGCACCAGAAGCGACGTTGCCATCACTCAAGAACGGTCCTGGCTTTCCGCAATGCTTACGAAAGCCCCCTTGGCGCGATAAACGTAGGACAACCATGTCAATCGACCGTCACGAATTCTTAGAAGCAAAACGATGAAAAAGTCATCTAGTTAAGAGGCGGGAGTGTCGATAAAATCAACCAATTATTAAGGTAGATGTAGCAGATCACTCATTATACGATGCTCTTTTTACTCACGTTTTAGCGTTACATGTTTCAGATTCTTCTTAAACCTTTGCATAATGCAAAAACCTTGTGTTCAAATAGCTAACAAAATTTCGTCATGGCCCCTAAATAACTCGGATGGGTGTATAGAGAACTTCTCTCTGGAAATGTTCTCTATCTTCCTAGACAACAGCATTTGAGGTCCATATATGGCCGCCTCGCAGTCGCACATCAAACAACGCAATGTAACTTCTATATTCTACACCGATCTGAACCGCTACACTTCGCCGCTAACTATTTCGTTATAACAGGTACCAATTCTCCAACCACTGAGTGACGGACAGCTTATTATACCCAAAGCATGAAATCTAACCAATGACTATATATTACAGGGCGCACCATAATAAAACTTGTACTTAGATGTTAAGGAGGTATCCGTATATCTGTATCCGCCTGTGTCACAGTGGTTAGAGGTGCTCTACACTACGCATGGGTTGGATCCCATGTCCCAGACTCGCCAAGCTCTCCATCCCTCCTGGGTGATCAAACTGGTAACGGATTTCTGGAAAGATAGCAGCAGTGGCTCGAAACATAGTTATGCCATCAAGAGTGATTGCAGAGGTCAAGATATGCATTCAATCACCACCAAACGAAGCTTGATGAGGTCGAATGCACGGCGCATTCCTCACTGATTGATCAGCGCCCAGAGCTTTATCCTTTTACTTTTGTCACTATATAGCTTAAAAGATCAACTTTCCATAAAACTTGTAAAAACTTATTAATAATTAAGCCACACGAGTTCCGACTTACGTCAACGATCAAAAATGAAGGACCCCGATCTACACACCAAAGTACTCAGAATGTCAAACGGACAATAGCAAGAGCACCTATCCGAAGGTCAGAGTTTTTTGCAGAAACCCTAGAATGAAGGTATGGTGCACAACGAATCCCTATAGCGAGCAGAGCCCAACCATACTCTTGCTCAAGCAGAAATGGAACATTTCCTGGCGCCCGCTTGAGCCATTCGACGATCAATGAGGCGACAGTAAATAAGTGACAAATAATATAACCGTGTGTTAACTGCATATATGCAATACAACCACAAAGATATTTGCATGCCAAGATATTTGCAAAAATCGGGCCTCAGCCCAGATTCGAACCTGTGATTACCTTTTCAGGGTGCTCACGTCTTATCCCACTACACCACCGACGCCTTTTCTTTTCTTCTCACAGCAAGTTTTTGGCACTAGCGGCATTATTAGCAATCACTCATCAACAGGAATGATCTGGGATGAACGGTCTAATATCCTTCCATTAAGAGAACTATAGGCAGTAAATAAAAAGTTTAGCACTGCGATTTCGAAAGCAGCTTCGGCTCAACTGGGTTCAATGCTGATTTGTGCTCCTCACATCATTTCCATTGACGGGTAATTGCTGATGGCACCGTTATGGTAAGAAGGCAGGGTGGGAAGAACGCAAATTAAGATTCTCGGTGGTGCAGTGGGTAACAGGTTACTTCACGAAGTCAACGAGTTCGAATCTCGCCTGGGTTCTGAGTTTTGGCCACAAAGCAGCATTATTGTGGTGGTCACACATCACACTACCATGAAAAACATCTTTTCTTATTTTTTTTACATAACTTTTCATAATATATACTGTGTGGGATTCCACCACATCATATATTCGATTCGTTTTGCTCGCATTCATCGTCCACAACAGTCCTGCTGCTGTTTCGGCCGGTGCTTGAGGATTTTCGTCTTCCTCACGAATGTCATTGAGGTCAGCTCAATGTTCCTTGTTGTAAAATGGCTGTGCTGGGACTTTCCAGTGTGGACTGACGGAAGACAACTTGTCCCATATTAGTCTGGTACCAATCTTCCGACTTCAATATGATGAGAGACCTGGTCGGCGTCGAACCAGAGCCTGGATAGGTTCGACCGTTCGCGTAACGGACGCGATGGCTAGCACACTATCACTGCGCTACCCGCCCCTGATCACATTAATTTTTCTATTTATTTTATTTTATCCGTCTTCACGTCTACTGCTCGTGATGACAGACACCACTACCACTGTTCTATCCGCCCCTGATCACATTATTTAACAATAACAACTTGCAATATATTGTTAATGACGATCATAGCAACAATGAAATTAATAACAATTATTGTACACGCTGAATCAGAAAGCACTTGCGTGCGCCGTGTCTTTCTCTGATTAACACCCAAACCTGAAAAATCCGATATACAAGTTTATGTTAAAGTAGAGTGAAATTTAGAGTCTACCTTGCCGTGAAAATTATCGTTTTCTACTAACACTGAGTTTATTTCATGAGGCTCTGGCGTGGGTCTCCTTACTACTATGTGGGTACTCTAGTCCTCACTTATTTAACGATCTGAATATCTCCATTTTATGAACTGATATGTAGTAATCTGGTTCGCCCAATATAAGTGGAATGTTGTACAGGCTGATCTGAAGACCTGTCATTAGCAAATTTAGTCCACAATTCCATAGCTCCGTTAAGCTTTTCACGACCACGTGCCCACTGGAATGCAGTTCAGAACCACATTTCAATAACGAACTACGGTCCGTGAACCTACGCCAAGGGGTACGACGCACTAGGTTCTTAAGATTATCGTCCTACTGTTCGGTTCACATTTTTCTCATGTTCTCCCAACTTCTACATATCCGCTATGTTCTTTTTTACGTTTTCATGCTTTTAGGCACCTCGTAAGTGATGAAAGAAAATACACGCTTATTACTTAATGACCTTACTAGCCTTTTCCACGATTTTGTGTGATATTTGAAGTGTATTTATGTAACTCTTTTGTTTGCTATATTCACCGATTCCACTCCACTATCTGAAACGGCTCTTTGCAAGTATACCTGGGAATACCTGAATACCTATTCATGGACCAAGCCTAGTATGACGTGTCGGACGAGTCACCAATTAACTACAATTAACTACAAGAGCTCGTTAAGGTGTTATGTGGTCGAAAGGTAATGTATCTACGTGAAAATATTGAAACAGAGAAAATTTTGGACAGTCCTATGCAATAATGGTAGCATTACGAAGAACTCAAACCTTTCAAGACCATCGGCATTGTCGCGTATTTGGCCCATCGGACGGCGTGTCATTAAAGCTCTCCTGAGGTGCGCATTAAAATCAAGATGTACGATATTAAACCTGTAGCAGCGCACATATTGAAATCAGTGCATGTGATCGTGAAAGGGTGAACGTTCCTAATGCTGAGTTTTCGGGCCTCAGGTATATACCCCCCTCAAGAAAATCGTCAACTTGTAACCGCACGCATTCGTTGTAATAATGAAATTTAACCCCTCAAAATGGTGTACAGTTTCGAGAAAACCTTGTCGCATCCGGTTTAAATGATCTGAGTACCTTGTGTTCGTTATAATTCACTCGTACTAATAATCTTCTTAACAAAGCAAGCTGAACATCCATGTCATTCTATAAATGCGCATGAAACCCATCCTCCTCGTCGTATAGTAGAACCATTTATTTAGTTTCCAACTACACCGCACTCTTATGTTGCTATAGTCGAATTCCTAAGGAGCTAAAACGGTTTGTGAGGCATGTGATATAGTGGTCAACCAAATTTCATCGACAGAACCTGGTCTCAAACAATTCTTCAAATTATAGCCGATGTGTCTCGCTACAGGGTATATGAATAACTTACCTTACACATCGCCTATTTAGAGGTTTTAAAATGATTGGAACCAAACCCCTATACCTAGCTCCACTACTATCCCTCCAAGTATTTCAGGTTTAAGAGGGTAACGCCCGATCGACGACCTCAGAATACAATGCATGTTCTAATTTACACTCGTTGCACAGTTTTACCACTAACTATTTAACCATATATCACCACAACGCGCCCAAAGACCCCGGGAACAAAGCAACAATGTTTTTTAAGTTGCACTTAGTTATAAGAAGTAAAGTCCCGTAATGTAAACTCAATGCAATGTCAAACAATTCTGCAAATTAGTTAGGAAGTATCACTTCTGTTACCGAAGACACTACTAACACTCTCTAAATGGAACCCATTCGAAAATCGTTATCCCCACTTTGTCCCAAAGCCTGTTTTACATAACTCAGCAAATGTGGATAAAACCTTCACGTCTCTACAACAATCAACGAACATTTTATGCAAAAATAGTAATAAATAAAAAAGAGAAAATACCAGATCGACTTCTATTTGAGTTCTCAGCAAGATGTGACGTGGCAACACTGAAAATAAAACCGAATTAAAAAAAATATCTGGCAGGTGTTGCCTACGTAAATTCTAAAGCGGAAAATTTTTGCTACTTATGAAAGGGACATGGTACGGAATTTTACACACTAATTCTGACAAGGTATGTCTTGAAAATACAACAACGACAATACTGCCTAGCAAACATTTTCATTTCATGACGAAACTAACTTCGCAACTCGAAATCCACGGCAGTAATGGAGAAATACTGAATTCTCGCATGCAGCGGAGCACCACGTGGAAATGGATAGTAATCAAGAAGCGATCGTCATGTCACAATTTTTGTAACAAAGAAACTAGACTAACCTCACTGGGACTAACCTCGACAAACAAAAAGATGAGAGTAAAATACCGAAACGAACGAGTAGCTGAAGAAAACGTCAGCGTCGCTGAAAGGACGCATTATACAACAATCGTCAAGAATATGAGAAGGTTCGGAGATTTTTATTCAAATAGTCACCAGACACCAATGCTAGAATGAAAAAAGAGGGTATCATAGCTTATTAGGATTTCTGGATATGTGTTGCTTCACACAAACCTGTAAGGAAATACAGGTAAAATGCACGATAAAGTTCACCAACCCTGCGGTCATAGGACCGGCTTCTGTCGCGGCGATCGCCACGTCGATCCCTGTTGTCATGCTCACGACTACGAGAACGACGATAACTACAAAAAACGAGGTATTACTGCAACTAATGAAGAATACGTATTGAAGTTTTCACCACTACCCACCTCCTTCTGTCTCTGTCCCTGCTACGATCCCTTCTACCACCTCGCTCTTTGCGGTCCCTGTCCCTTTCACGGTACCTATCACGATCATCAATTCGGTCTCGATCATCACGCTTTTTGTCCTTGTCATCTCTGTCCCTTCCTCGCTCCTTCTCTAACTGCAGTCTCTTCTCCTCCTTGTTCTTTAACATTAGGTCGATTTGTTCTTTTATTCTCGTATAAGCGATATGGAGTTTCCCACTAAGATGGTCGTCGATACGACTTTGAGCATCGTTGGTAAGCATAAAGCAACCGCACACCTGCAGAATTCACTGTGAGGGTCAGATGATAAGATACAAAAAGGCAAAAAAATTGCATGGCAATCGTGTGGCACGGAGAAAATTTTGGAACCACTCGTACCTGGCATACTTGCATCTGTTTATTTCCAGCTGTTAGTTGATCTTCCATAGTTATTGCTCTTTGTCTCTCTTGTTCTAGGACTTCCTCCTCCTTTTTCAATTCTTCACGATCCTTCTAAACAAAGAAGAAGTACAAATTTCAGACATTTCCGTGGAGAACGGCGTGAAAAGTACTAACAGTGAGTTCATCCGCCTTTTGTACTGCCGTTTGGGCAGCAGCAACATTACCCTGGGCGCCTTCAATCTGTAATAGTTACTATCTATAAAAAGGCATAAATTTAATAAAACTAAAACATGACTAGTTGTTCCAAATTCCCGTTATAAAAGATCTAGAATTAAAGTTCTAGATCTAGAAATACAAACAAGAAAATATGGAGTCAGTACAAAGATTACCTCAGCTTCCTCCATGAGACCTTCTATGCGTCTTCCAAGCATTTCTCGTTTTTCAATCAAATCTCGTTTCTTTTTGTCATACACCTCGACGGAAACATGTGTGTCGGCTGGAACGGAGATCGATTTTACATAAAGTGATAAGCAAGGTTAGTCGCAACAACTACGATGAACCCTAGTTTTATGCAATGCCGTTAGAAGTTATTTTGATTAACATAAAATGCTTATCAACAAAAATGCTCTCCTACCTCTAGTGTGAACCAATCGAGCTTCGTTCTTCTCAATTTTCCTTCTTACTTCATTATGCATCCGGTTGAGCTGAAAACGAGCAAGTCGGGAAGAAAGTCGTTGAAAAGTATATGCAGAAGTGTTTTCGAAAAAAAAATGGCAAGTTATAGTTGTATTGGAAGACCAACCAATAAGGTCTTTTAATTTTGAAGAAATGGAGTAATAAGACGTAGCGTAGGGCACTTTTTACACAAATTAAAACCATGTTTTCAGAACTTCACGCCTCGAGTTCACTTCACAAGAGGGAAGAGAGGCTTTGCATCCAGTACATTTTGATAGACTGGACAAAACAATGTGCAAGGAAACGAAGCTACCTACCCTTTCGAAGTACTTTTCCTCATAGCCAAGTCTTCCAAAACGACTACTCTCTTGATAACGCTTCTTTAGCGCTTCGTCATGAATCGGCTAAAACACTATTACGGATAGACTTAATGTAAAATATACCTCTAAGGGAAGAAAGGGAAATGCTCACATGTGGACAAAAACCCAAGTCATTCTTTGTATTCCGAAACGCTTCAGCTAAACAAAATCCGACCAGAAAATCTCTACACACATCGGGATGATCGAAATCAATAACGCTGCCCTGAAAAGCTATTCGAAAAAGAATATTATAAATATTAATAGGTCATAGGGTAGGTGCAGTAGAACAAACTTCTCCAGGTAAAGCATTACGTTGTGGACCCATGAGCTCATTGAGCATCTGGGCCATATAGTCCGTCATCTTGCACAACGTCAACAAGATCCGTACAGATTAAGTTATAATATGCAGGTTGTGAAGCTGAAATTCTAGGAAATAAAGGTAGATATTGAGAGGAAGAGTTACAAAACGCATCCGAAATACTGAGATTCGGGGATTTACAGGGTATGTAAGCAATATTAGAAAAAAAGCGATGATGACGTAATGTGAAGGCCATTTGACCTACAGAGAAGAAAGCCTCCCCACTGGGAAATGGTGTTGTCCTACGACAGAATGAGGATACTAGTATTCCCAGAAGCACACCGTTCACTTAGTAACACTACGGTTAAGTAGAAAAGCAAATACGAACAACAACCACTAAACCCTATGATACAGTGTTGGATGGGAAGCTCCCAACTTCTACTTCCAGTGCATGCGCCCAAACTTCTAGAAAGTTAGTAGGACCACTAAGGCTCACAACAATTAATATATCTTTTTCCAGACGTATCAATTGGCAGGACTACTAAACATTACGACTATGTTTGTTGCTGAATGAATCGACTAGTAGTACCACTAAACATTACGACAACAGATTTCTTTCCAAATGAATGATGAGTCATCGCCGCCTCGATGACTCGTCAGACATGTTCCTGTTGTAGCAAGCCCCACGGCTCCCATATTTGTAACAGAGTTTGCATTCTTGTAATCCGTTCACAATAAAATAACCACGATACACAAATGAATACAGGAAAAGCACGAACTCAAGCTACTCGTTACTTTGAAGCAAAGCCAAATAGCGATCGAAAGAAATGAAACGAATAACGGCCAAGCTGGAGAGTACGAACAAATAGAATGCTGGGCTAAATGTAATTGTAACAAAATTTACTCCGTTGTCGTAGCTTAGGGTCTCTGACGACTGCGTTTCCTAACTGAACAGCTGCGGCCGTACTCTTTTCCTGCATGCCCTCGTTCCCTAGGCAACAAACGGATGCACACACTACATCTGATCCGACGCAATTCCACCCAATTTCTCGTATTTATTTGTTCTTCCAATGTTCTCAAACTTATTGCTAGTATTTTGAAAGCAGTAGTCATTTAGCGTCGGTAGTAATCATCAGTACCTTCTTGGATTAGCCGGATAAACATCTTTGTTAACCTTTTTCTGGCTTAACAACCTAAATTTTAGCCGAATAAAGGTCTTTAGCAACCTCGTGTTACTTACTTGATACTTGAATGGCCTGCCTTCACTAGCTGTGCGCGCCACGGCAAAGCTTCCAGTTCTTCGGAATTTTGCTGGTTTAGCTATTGTGGTTACCTAGAGTCTCGAGGTTGGCCTAGCCAAAGTCTGCCCCAGGTCGTCACCACCACAGGCAGTCGCCGCCCTTGTGGATTAGAGGGAGATTTGCCACCATGCGACTAGTTTGATACCACGAGGATGGTGGATTTCGATATCGGTTTACTCTTATCTGGGCTTCTTAGTGGAAACGCCATACTCCTAAACCCTTTCGGAGGATGAATCCCCCGCTGTACATCGCAGTCCAACACCCAGGAACACCCAGCCAGGATGAGGCAGTAAACCGTTGGGAGACAGCCGGGAGACAACCTCGTGTTGGCTTAACAATTCATGAACATACTGCCAGTAATGATCTTCCAAGACCATATGATATATGTTGCACTATTTCTCCTTAGGCATTGATCAATCCCCGAGCGATGCGCCATGCATTCGACTTCATCAAGCATCGTCAGAGGTGATTGCATGCATATCTGGCCCTTATAATGTCTCTCCGTGGCCTACTGATATATCGAGCCAGTGCTGCTATCCTCCCAGATAGCTCTGGTACCGATTTGGCGGCACCTGAGGTATGGAGGGCTTGGTGAGCCTCGAGCGTAGCATCGATTCTATGTGTATTGCAGGGCGTCTATAACCACTGCGCTACACGCGCCTTATGTTATGCTTTGTGAAGGTAAAAAGCGCAATCGAGAACATTAGACATTAGGGCATTAGTAGCTTCGTTATCACTGGTATTAATGTCTACTAACTACATAGAAGGCCATTCTCGAAACCAGTCGATCCTCGTCATACAAGTGTTACTGCAGTTTTTCTTTTATTGTTGATAAAATACAAGTACAACTTAAAATTGGCAGGTTTGGCTTCTTTAGAATACTCTCGAATTTATTGTTCTTCAGTATTTTATTTCACATTACAAAATTTCTCTGCGGAAATTTACCTGTACCATCTTTTTCCCCTGTAGCTTCGCCAATCTTCAAGTGACGGTTACGTACCAGTAGCCTCCACCCCTCCCTGTATCACATTAGACTTCCCAAGTTGTCAAAGTGGTTCTCCGTTTATTCAGTGCACAGCAGTACCACACGCTTCTTAGGTGACCCTTTATTTTAACGGTTTTGACTCTTAACCTTTAACGGAAGAGACAAACTGTGGACTGTGTTGTTTCGATTCTGCTGTTTGGACTAGATTTGCAGACAGGTCTTTCCCGCTCTTCCGAACAGAGGTGAATCCTCTCCGTATATAGAGAATTAGAACCTGCTCATTCTCGTCGTAGTCACTTGCTTGCGCTTATCTGACCGAATTGAAATAATGTTGTCCGAGTTTCGATGCCGATAAGCTAGTTTTTATACATTTTTCCTTTTTTCCTATTCGTCTTTAAGTGTGCTTCATGGTGTAGCACCATTCTTCGATGTCGAAGGCCGATCAGTTAGTCATCGAGCGACGCTTACGACCGATTTATGGTACTGTTCTTGTTAAGTTTCGTCTATTTTGGATACTTACTTGAATACCTGAATGGCCTGTCCTCACTGGTTGCGTGGGCTCCAGCACAATCTCCATTTTTTCGGTGTTCTGATGGTTTATCCACTGTGGTTCCCTGGAGTCCCGAGGTTAGCCTGGCCAAAGTCTGCCATAGGTCGTCACCACGACAGGCAGTTGCAGCTCTTGTGGATCAGAGGGAGATTTGCCACCAAGCGACTAGTTCGATACTAGGACGGTGGGGGATCCTGGTATTGGTTTACTTTTAGCTGGGTTTCCAGATGGAAACGCTGAACTGCTTCTCAGCTTAGGAGGCCATGCCGGGAGATGAATCACGCCGCTGTACATTGCAGCCCGACACCCAGGAACACCTTCCGGCGGTAAACCATGGTCCATCTATTGTGCTTATTATAACTCCTCTTTTTTTTCAGATGCCATAGACTCAGGCAACATGAAAAAAGCTCTTCAGGAGGCTGATAAAGTTCTGAAGAAGCACCCCGTCACTATTTGTGCTAAGGTGAGCTGGGCCTAAAGTACCCATTAGTTTGGCTGTTATGTAAGGTAGGTCATTCATGACTTGAAGTCATTTAAATATTTAGGTCCTGAAAGCGTTAGCGCTTATTCGATCTGACAAAATTGCTGATGGTTTTGAAATCATCAATACTTTGGATGTTCCTGGAGCACATTTTGATGATGGAACTCTTCAAGCATTTGTGCACTGCTTTAAAGTAAGCTTTTAGTGTTTATATTACCATGAACTTTTTAAAGCTTTTTTTTCTGTGTTCGCTTTTTCGTAATATTCTCATGGGTGATTTAATGTTTCGTTTCGAAATGAGGTTTGTGTAGTTAGGTGGCCTTTTTTGAGTGTTATGTACTAGTGCGCATGTAGCGCAGTGGCCAGAGAAGCCTTGTAATACACATGGGATCTATCGCCGCGCCTCAGGTTTTCCAAGCCTTCCATCCTTCCGGACGGGAAATTGGTACCAGATTTGTATGGAAGGTTAGCAGCACTGACTCGACACATCGGTGGGCCACCGCGAGTCATTGTAAAGCCCATATATGCATTCAATCACCTCCAACGATTCTTAATGAACTCGAATGCATGGTGCATCCCTTAGGGATTGATCAACGCCGAGAACTTCGTTATTTTTTTATTTTGTACTACCATCTTTTAGGATTAACGGAATTAAATGGCTTGTTCTAGTTCTTAGATTTCTAAATATCTTTCCATCTTGCGTGTTTAGGAAGCTGGTTGTCCTGATAGGATAACCACTCTTTATCAACGTGCCGTGGCTGTATCTCCTTCTGAACAAAATCTCACTCATCTGTTTATGGCTCATGTTAGAAATAGGTAATTTTATTTTATTTAAGTCGGATCCTACTTGCCTACTGTTGGTTATAGGTCATTTAAAAACCAGCAATTAGTGGCTATGCGTTTATTCAAGGAGTTTAACAATACTCCGTATTTCTTTTGGGGAGTGATGAGTATCGTTATGCAGGTTTGTTTAGAGGCAATTGCTTATTGGCAATATTTTTATTTTTATAATCCTTGTGAGCTCTTATAGGCACGTAGTGATCCAGAAATGGGTAAAAAAATGCTCTATCCACTTGCAGAGCGGATGCTTGCAAACCACCTAGTAAAACACGGGTACAAGGCGGCTGCAGGTTTGGGCTCTTACACACCGAGCACTATCTCGGGAATATTTTTTTAATAAATCAAAAGACCGACTTTCTATAAACCTCAATAAATAATCGGTGCATTTGCCTATATGTCCATATGAACTGATCTTTGTTGAGCTGATGCGAGGTTGGTATAGTTGTTGTTGTTGTTGTTGGTCGATGGCTGACGTTTGGATGATTTCCCCTTCCTCAGAGCAGTGCAACAACATCATGTGGCGCGCACTAGTACCTGCACGGCTCTGAAGATGGCGAAATCGCCGAGACGTCAGGCATCGACCAACAACAATAACAACAACAACGACAACTATACCAAACTTGGCCTTTTTATTTACTGCCTACTCTTTTTAATGTAAGGGTATGTAGCGAAGTATAACTTCTAAGATGCTGAAATATTTGCAAAATCCGGAACACAGGTGTTTGCAGTGGGGAACGAACGCGCTATTACCCTTTTCGGGGCGTAACACTTCCATCGTCACACCATGTAGGTTCTTCGTTTTGCCTGTCTCTCAGCTAGTTCTATCGATCACTGCCGTCAGCAATCACCCGTCAGCGGGATTGATCTGTGGAGCCCAAATTGGTAATGAACCCACTTAAGCTGAGGCTGTAGTTATAATCACAATCTTAACCTTTTTATTTACTGCTTACTCTTTTTAATGGCAGGGTATGTTGCGAAATATAACTTCTACGATACTGATATATTTGCAAAACTCCGGACCGCAGGTATTTGCGGTGAGGAACGAACGCGCTATTACCCTTTCCGGAGGCTAACCCGTCCAGGTAGATTAGGTAAATTTGCGATTAGCTAAGGGTTAAGATTGTGATTATAACTACAGCCTCGGCTTAACTGGGTTCATTGCCCATTTGTGCTCCCGAGATCAATCCCGCTGATAGGTGATTGCTAATAGCACTGATCGATAGAACTAGCTGAGAGACAACCGAGCCGAAGGATCGGCAACGTGTGGTGGTGAACGCGTTAGTCCCCGGAAAGGGTAGTAGCGCGTTCGTTCCTCACCGCAAACACCTGCGGTCTGGAGTTTTGCAAATATATCAGCATCATAGAGGTTATGCCAACCTTGCATCAGCTGAGCAAAATCAGTTCAAAGGAACATATAAGTAAATATTTCCTTTGTATAGTGACGGCGTAGTTTGACTTTGTTATGAAAATTTCAGTAAACTTTAGTAAGCTTCTGCTGTAACTTAGAAGAATTCTGGATATGTTTTAGAGTTAGAACTACATGCTATGGTTTACGAAGGCATGGGAAAGTTTGCTGAAGCGGAAGAGTTACTTGGGACTACTGATTCTAGAGCACTTCTTCCAACACCGCCAACATTCTTGACGGCGCGAAGACTTGCTCTTCTTATGTCTGCAAAGAATTATCGAACAGTGATGGATAGGAGTGTCGAAGGATTGAAAGCAGAGTATGTTTACTAGCAAATGTTTCATCATTGGAATACCAGTAGTGGTATGAGTAACGTACTAATTTTCAGCCCAGATGACTGGGTTCTATGGAAGATGCTGTTCGACTCATCATTCGAAGTTTTAAAAGAAGCTGAAAACGATGATGAACGAACAAAGTAGTTCTACAATGCTTAGTTTTTGTCTTTTATCCAACTTTTATCTGTCTATCTATCTTTACCTTATCTACTTTTATCTGCTGCCTTTTTTTCTTAATAACAGGGTTTTATGTGAAATTGAGCCACAAGAATGCTGAGGTATGACCAAAACCTGAACTCGGCGTCTAACCTACGAGTACCTTTTCCGAGGGCTTACGTATTATGCACCATACTAACCGAGGCCCTTGCTGTATCTTTCTCTCCGCCAGTTTTTTACTTTAACGCTGCTATCAGCAATGAGCCATCAAGGGGAATTATCTGGGAAGCACAAATTGGCTTCGAATCTAGTTAAGCCAACGCTGCACTCAGAGTTGCAATGTTTCAACTCCTACTTATTGCTTTTTTTTCATGGTAGGGCGTTATGTGTAAGTCAAAGTATTTCCAAATGAGAACAAAGCATTTCAGGTATGAAATAAAAAGTAGGTTTGCCTTCCACTAAAGGCTCCGTTTTTCTTCTACTTTTTATTTCTTCCTTTCCGGTTAGCAACTGGTAGTCCTTGCAAGGAAATATGTATGAAAAATCGTTTTTCATGATCTTGACTGTGTTATCGGAAGCGATCAATGCCGATGGTTTATCCACGAGTAGATTACGTGGCCCTCATCTCGCACGTCTCGAGCTTATTGGGAGATTTCATAAAGAAGAGGAGGCTGTTCGTAATCTTCTAGATAGAATGAAATTAGGTGCGAATGATAATGGTCTTCCATACTATTCGAACAGGCTATTCTACTTTTTTTCAGGTGATGTCGTCGATTTGATGATAAATTACATTCTGAGGTTTTATGCGAAACCTTGTTGCTATAATGACATAGTTCAGGTACTTTCTATCCTTTTATGTTGTCCAGTTTTACTAGATGATTATGAAATGCTTCTATAGATCCTGTTGTAGTATCTGTGGTTGTTGGATGATGATGGTAAAGAAGAGCTTATTGACGGATTAAACGAATTTATCGACAGTGTGATTCACCAAAGAGAGCAAGCAGGAGAAGACAGTGTAGGTGCTTGTTTTGAAACATAAATTTCCCATCGTTACGAATGAGCAGTTTGTAAGAAATGTTCCAGTTTTTTACATAATCCATCTTCACGTGTACTGTGCAGATCCCAGCACTTCTCGCATTCCATTCGTCTCGTCGCTTCTATTATCCACGAAGGTGTTCTAACTTTTCGCGTGTGGGTTCAACTGCTGCTTGAGAATTGCCATCTTCTTTATGAATGTGTTTGAAATTTTACCGGGTTGATTCTTCTTGAAGTCCTGAGATAGCCAGGTAGAGTGTTCCCACTTCGAATGCAGGAACCGTACTTTTCCCAAACAAATCTGAAAGGGAATTTGCCAGCCCGGAGGGATTAAAGGTTTGGCGAGCTCAAGACAAGTTTGAACTAGCGCCATACTCATAATGAACGGCATCACTACCATTACACTATCCGTTCTTCAAAACGTCTCATTTGTTCCAAAAACTCAAGAAAAAAGCGGCATTTGTTCCACTTTTTTATTACTGTCATCTATCATGTGTATAAATTGTAAGGGGAATGTTCTATGATTCCGAAATGCCACATAATTACATTTGTGTGACCAAACGGCGATGTCAAAAGGGAAGCCCAGATATTCCCAAGAGTGACTTTCTGTTAATCTTGGCATTGATTGATAATTCGATGTTTTTCTTCAATAAGCAGATAACGACCTCGTGTCTGCTTATTGAAGAAAAATATTGGAGCCTAGATAGCTGACAGAAATTACACACACACATTCCCAAAAGCGACAAACTATCTTTATAATGAAACGAAGCGCTGAATTAGCTTACATCTTAGTGAACTGCCAAAATAGGGAATCAGTTTAGTACGATTACGAATAAGCTATGTTCCACAAATGCCAAATTGAATATGCCTTAACAAATACATCAGTTTGTATTCTTCTTTCACCTTGACCACCTGTAGTCTCGTTGATCGTCGACTGACTCATTTAACACCATATCTTTCTCCGAAGGTTTTTGTTAAAAAACTCTGGTTAGATTGCCTTTCATACGGATTACGTTTTTGGCGCACCTTATCCTCGACAAATTGTTATAGAGAACGGCGTCTTTGGTTTTTGATCGTTGACGTAGATCGGAGCTTCAGGTCACTTCTCCAACCTCCATAACACAGGAGACTCTTAGCACTATTCTTTTGACGACATGTTCCATAACGCTGAGTGGTCTTTTATCATGCTCACGTAGCGACCAGGTTTCTGGTGCATGCGTTAAGGGGAAATTTGTGGAATAGAAAATGTATGTACGGAGTCGGACGTTCTTTGATCTCTTCACTGCATCCTCTATGCTCCTGAAAGCTCCCCACGATGCTCGCTTGCTACTGCTAAACTATGAACTGAGTTGTTAGTCGAAGACCAATTTTTCCACAACCGTTATCAAAACGGGGTGACATTTATTCCATCTGGCGGTTTGGTGTTATAAAAATGAACTTCTAGAAAGGGTAATTGCAGGTTCATATCTGGCCTAAGGTCCAAGTTTTGGAAATATTTCCGAATTCTAGTGGTAAAATTTCGGTTGTGAAGTTTTTATGTAGCCCACGAAGAATCTTTATATACTGAGTACGGATACCTTGGTTGTCCTAAGCTCCCATCACTATTTCTATCTCAACCGAATCCAAAGATTTGCTTAAATAGATGAAAGTGAAACAGAGTACTGTCTCATACTCCCGCCATACTTCAAATGCAGTTTTCGTGTGTGTATGTATGTCTATGTGTTCCTTTCCGAAACCGTGCTTGCTAACATGGTTGCCCTCCATCCATCGTCCTATTCAGGATGACTCGAGTGAAGAGTTCGTAGACTGGAGACAGCAAGTAAATTGGACGATAGTTCCCGATATCGTGGAGGTTATCCTTCTTGAACAGTAGGACAGGTTTTCTCGTCTTTCATTGAGTGATAACGTGTGAAAAGCCGAACCTGTTTGTTGATGAGGACTGGCGGAAGGCTTTTAGGTCTTCAGGTCTACTACTGTCCCGACCAGGTGTTGTTCGATTTTTCTGCGACGAAATACTATGTCGGATTTCGGAAGAGAGAACCGTGAGGAGGCTTATCCATCCTACTTTATTTCATGTGGGGGTAGCATGGCATGTCTATTGAGGACGTCAAAGTAGTGATCGTTAATGATTTTCTTCATTGTGTTCCTGGATGCTGTAAATGTTTTGTCTGTGCGTCGAAGTGCGATCATTTTGGTTTTGTCATTGGCGAAGCTTCGGTGGGATTTGCGAATGCTTTTCCCAGCCTCTACAGCTTCGACCATTACTGCTGCTCTTCTCTCTTTAAAATCTTTTATAGCCTGTCTGCATAGTTTTGCAAGCTCGGACGTTAATTTGCGGTTGTCTGCAGCTCGCGCGATTCCACGGTGGCGTATCAGCTCGAGTGTTTCTAGAGAGAGACGTGTATTGGTGACTTTCGAACTCAGTTTTCATAGCGCTAACAAGAATATGTTGAATGAGCCAATCGTATTCCTTCTCGATGTTATCGAGAAGGGCGCCTTTCCAGTAGCCTGCTAATGAATCCCAATTAATGGTGATTTTGCGACTTCGTTTTTTGAATTTGGCAGGTTTTCTGCGAGAAACGAAATCTTTAACGAAAAGGCGATGGTCTGATCCTGTGTAGGATTTTGGGACAATATTGGTTAAGTAAAGCCTTCGATTTACCATAATATCTATTTCGTTATGCTACTCTCCACTGGGAGACTTCCACGTCCAGCATTGAAGGTGGGGTTTCTGGAATAACGAGTTACCATGGATGGTCTTGGTCATCATGATAAGCTCGGAGAGCCGCTCACCCTGCTCGTTCCGTTGTAGTCAGTGGGTCCCAATGTGACGTTCTTCAGATGTTTTCCTGGGTCCATTGAAGAATGTATGGTCTTCTCTGTAGAACTTCTCGAAGTCCCTATAGAACGCTTAAACTTCTTCTTCGTCATAGCTTGATATCCGCGCGTAGACGACAGCATTTGTCAAAGCTGGTATTGATCCACATCTCTTCAACCGTAAACTTTCGATTCGGGCCGTCAAATGATCGGATGAATCGATGTTCATGAACAAAGTAGTGCTGACAAGAACATCGACCCCGCTGACTCCTCTGCTGTCGCATATTCCTTCTCCGGTAGCATAGATGGTGTTGAACTGGCGGCGTCTTCTCGTCTCAGCTAGTTCGTTTACGTCGTGCCTTGTTCTTCCTACCTGCATGATCAAGTTTTTTTATCTTTGATTAAGACGCAAGTGAACACACTTTGTAGGTACAGATCACCAGTATTGAAAAATATTTGATGTCTCTCGCACATAAAACATTACTCAGGATGCTAACTGCTGGGCCGTGATTATAAATGAGAGGCTTCGACGAACAACTGGAAACATAGACAAGATGTTCCGAGAGGATAGACGAAGACATGTTCAGCTTATCGTTCGTGGAATTATGGAGGTATTTTTTTAGATATAGATTTGTCCCATTAGATGGGTGTACCTAGAACAACTAATGTGATAAAGTTGAACCTTGTCGTAATATCTCCATGTTTATATTTATATTTTTTGAATATTGGTAAAATCATTCTCAGCCTAATCGGCAACAGTTGGCGGGAACAGCATTAGCTCAATTGGCTGCTGCCATTCTTTGGAACGAGTGGAAAGTGCATGGTAGGTCTCATAAAATTTCTGTGGTGTTACGTCAATTGTAAATAAGGATTCATATACGTGTAGGCTTTTTATTCAGTGTATCGTGATATATCTTGGGGGCACGTGTAGGGTAGTGGTTGAATGCGCCCTGAAATGCACCATGGATCGATTTCCAGGCTCACTAAGCTTTCCATCCCTCCGGGGTCGGCAAATTGGTACCGTACTACTCTGGGGAGATAGCAGCATCGGTTCGATACATCGGTAGGCCACATTGAACCCTTGTAAAGGCCAGATATGCATTCAGTCACCTCAAATGTTGCTTAATGAAGCCGAATGTATGGCGCGTCCCTCAGGGATTGATCCACACTGGGAGCTTTGTCCTCCATCGTTTTTATCATTATATATCTTAAGAATGTTTATTAACTGTCCAATCTTTATTTAGTTTAGAGTTATTGAAACTGTAATTCAGTTTAGCTGTTTTTCCCTCGGATTGAGGTGTTCACAATTATGTTCTGGTTAGTGACAACTCTTGCCAGCATCTTTATGTCAAAGATTTGAGCGTCATGAGCGTCAGCCACTATCCGACTATCAATCCCTCACAGTTAGTACAGATTGCATATTCTTCTGGTGAACATATGAAGTCCGTTGATTATATCATCTTTCCGTTCACACTCTAATAAACAAATAGGGCAGTTATCTGAAACACGTATAGACAACGAGCTACGGGAACAAATTACCTTAACTTGAGTCAGCAATTAAGAACTTGTAATTGTTGGATTAATGGTAGCCAAGGGTAGGTAGAACGAAGAAAGAGAAGAGGGAGAGTAAGTCTGATTATGCTTTGAAAACGATGGTTTTATCCATTTTTATCTGATTTAGTAAGTATTGCTAATGAGAGCTGCCTATAAAAGCGAGTGTTTAATGTATAGTGATGGCAGTTACACAATTTATCAATCTACCAAACAGGAGTATATAAAGCCATAGTTAATAGAATGACTTCACACAATTCCACTAGAAGCGCATAGAACTATGATAGAGTGGATTTCACTGCACTGCTGCACTGCTGAATGGTTGCTTACAGATGATTGGCAATCCTTTTATGAGCTGATACTTCTTCTGGAGTGGACATCAAATGAGTACCCTACGGATCCCTTTTGCAAGCTTGTTCTTTGTCGGGCTTATGCTCACATTGGTACGCCATACCTTTTTCTTCTTTTTCCATATCTCATGCTAGCTATTATCTCAATGTAGAGCTCACGATTTAGTTTCCTTAGCGGGGCTAACGGTGTTATCCTTAAATGTAAGGTTTCTAGGTTGTATGTACCGCTTGGTGGCACTGACTCGGTCGCTTGATATAAAATCTGTGCAACGAGACACTCTTGGATATATAATGTTTCCAATGCCAGAACTTTGTGGCAGGTGTATTTATTGTGTTGGTTCAGATTCATGTTTTTCTGAAATGTGTTCGTATTTTACTACCATAGTAAAAATGGTGTTTCTTGTTTAGGTTGTTATTTTTTAAGGTTCAACGTTGGAATCGTTCATTACACAGAAATGGTCGAAGTTTATGAACAAGCAGAAAAAGAGGTATACTACCTCCGACGTTTGATTTCACGCTTTTCCTCCTTTTTTTGTTCTTTCTGTTTCGCTTTCTGTTGAAGTTCCTGGTATGCAAAAAAGTGACTTTTTTCACAAACTTCTCACAAAGTGTGTTAAAAATCCTCTCGAAAATGCTCAAATTTGGCCTTATTGGTGATTAACTGCGTTTGGTTTTTAAAGAAAAGCGAGTCTGAATAAGACCATCTCCCAAAAATTCTCGTTTTTTCTGTAGCGTATCTCAAATAATGACTTGCCAAACTTTACGTACTTACTTGAACACTTGGATGGCCCGTCATCACTGATTTCGTGGGACCCAACATAATTTCCATTTTTTCGGAATTTTGTTGGTTTAGCCATTGTAGTTCCCTGGAATCCTGAGGTCAGCCTGGCAACAGTCTGCCCCAGGTTGTCACCACCACAGGCAGTCGCAACGTTTGTGGATCAGAGGGAGATTTGCCGCCATGCAACTAGTTTGATACTAGCATGGTGGTGGATCCTGATATTGGTTTACTCTTAGCTGAGCTTCCTAATTGAAACGCCGGACTCCTTCTCAGCCTGGGAGACCCTGCTGGAGGATAAATCCAGCCGCTGTGCATCGCAGCCCGACACCCAGGAACAACTCACTGCCACGATGAGGCGATAAACCGTTGCGAGGGGCTAAACTTTAACAAAGCATAAATTCTGAATCGACTGTTTTTAGATTAGTGAGGCATTGATTGGTGCGTATCGTAATGGTGCGTTCATGCAAGTCCCAAATCTTGTTGCGTTAGCTGACCGGATGAAAAAATCAGCACTTGTAAGATTTATTTCAACCCTCTTCACATCAACTGACTTCGGTGAGCTAAGGAAGCATTTCAGTTTGTGGCTTCAAATGAGATGCATCGCTATCTATCAGCCTTGTTTGCTATTGAGAACATTGATGAAGCTGTTAATACACTGCATGGTAACGACGATACTATTGGTTAGTGCTCACAGCTGTAGATATTTATGAAGATGCTTTGTAGTAATTGCTGATGAAAATATTGTGGTATAGTTAGGTATTCGAAAGAAATCATTGCGTGTAAGAACTTTTAGAATGGGATTCCTTGTGCGACAATCGTGATCTCGGTGTAGTACCGTCTTTTGAGAGGAATGCAAAGCAAGAACTAGATGATCTTAGGAAGAGTACACAAGCTGAATTTGTTGGTTACTCATTCCGAAGTTGTGAAAAATTTCTTCGGTATTGAGCACTCGTGTTTAGGTAGATTTAACGCGACTGAGACACTACATTTCCCAAGCACTTGGCTCTGCTGGAGGAGCCAATGGAGCTGGCATAGATGAATTGGGTGCAGATTTGACTCTTTTGCGACTGTATCTCAGATATTGTCGGGAGTCTTATTCGTTGGATATTCCTTATGTTAGTTTTACACTTTCGCCACTTAGTAATGGTTAAAAAGAAAGAAGAATAGGAAGTAGTGTTACATGACATTACACATAAGTTACTGTTCGTTGATATGATTATAGCTGGAAAGGGATTTATCCTTCCTGTGAAATGAAATTAGAAGTAGTAGTCTGGTGGTTTTTTTTTAAAGAGCCGAGTAATGCAGTCACCAAGTGCAGTGTATTTGGGACACTTCGTACATGGTGGTTTCCTCGATCCTATTGTGGATCTTCTCCAGTCGGTTTTAGATGTAAGTCTTTTTTCCTTTCAAATGTTTCACCTGTAATATATTGAGAGTTTCCATATATTTCTCGCATTGCTGATAACTGTGTATTAGGATTTTCTTCAAATTCATTTTATGGCGGTAGATGTTTAAGAACAAGAAATTTTGTACGTAAAACTTTGATAGAGGACTTGTTTTTGTGTGGAAATGTCTATTTACCCATGTTTTCAAGAACTTGAAGTTTTTAGAAAGAAAAACTATGAATTGTCGTTGTAAAATAGTATAAAATTTTAGCTGGGTGGATCGAAAAAAGCGGGTGAAATTCCGTCTTCGACAACTCTTTCAATACTTCCAACGGTGGAACATATGGAAAATCAATGGACAGGTAAAGTCATGGCATTTTATGAAAAATTTCTTTTTATTGGCATTCTCGATATTTTAGCGATGTTGCCTCCGTTTGAGCCAAAGATCACTCCTTTCTTCATGCAAGATGAGATCATCACATGCTCAAGGGCCTTGCAATCATTGGCTGCTTGTCAGCTTTTGATTAGAATATTAGAAAGGTGTGGCTCATGTCGATTTCCGGAAAACGCTTCGAAGAAAGGGAAATCTACGGTACCAGCAAAGGTGTCATATGTCATTGAAAATAGATGATCTATTGTAGATTTTCTAAGGGTTTGAATCTATAGTCTGCTTATTATCGCATTTTAGAATGATTTTACTACGCATTGTGAAGCACTCCAAGCAGCTTTACGCAACTCTGCTTTGCGTTTGAAATTACGATTAGATGAAATGGAAGATGTGCTCAAGGAAAATTCCTACAGCTTAATGCCAAAAATTGGGACTGATTGGAATGAAGTACGGTTTTCCTTTCCTTTATTTTTGAGCTCCTCATTGCGAAACGTTTTATTTTTTTTTTAGGAACTATACGATTTATTTACCACACAGAATTTAGTCGTATCTGATCGGGTATACAAATCTTACTTCAACTCGTGCGCTGATATTCGTTACTTCTTGGAACGTACTATTCTGTAGGTGTTTTCTTGATTTATATTCTTCAATGATCACTTACTTGGATATTTGGATGGTCCGTTTTCATTAGTTGTACGAGCCCCAGCATTATTTCCATTTTCCGGAGACTTTCTGGTTTAGCCGCTGTGGTTCACTAGAATCCCGAGGTCAGCCTAGCCAAAGTCTGCCCTAGGTTTTCACCACCACAGGCAGTCGCCACATTTGTGGATCAGAGGGAGGTTTGCCACCATTCCACTTGTTTAATATCAGAACGGTGGTGAGTCCCGGTATTGGTTTACCCAGCTGTGCTTCCTGATGGAAACTCCGGATCCCTTCACAACTTGGGCCCAGCTGGGTGATGAATCTCGTCGCTGTAGCTCGCAGCCCAACACCTAGGAATACCTCCTAGCAAAGATCAAGCGGTAAGCCGTTGTGAGGATCCTTCAATGATTAAGAGTTCAAATTCATCCACGCCTTCTATTCAACTCTTAGCTTATAGCACGCTATAAGCTAAGAGTTGTAGAATTGATTGTAGCAAATAATTCAAGTAACCTACTGATTATAACTTAAATTGTCAGTTTTTTCAGACGTGATGCAAGCGACCAAAGGAGGCAGTGATCCACTTGAAACATCCATTAATGTACTATTTCTCATTATTATCTCCACGACTGGAAAAATTATTTTAGGTTATGTTTTCTTTTGTTTTTTCTTGCGATTCCTAACTTCACTCGTGAAGTACAAGTATTACTGATTAGCGAACTCGGCGAGAAAGAGTTTATTTGTAATCGCATCTAATTTTTTACTCTGTGAAATACGCACATTTTCACGAAGGCATTTGAAGAACTAACGAGTAGTTTGTTAATTAATTTGTAGTGACTAGTTGATTAAAGGGGTATTGAAAACGTTGTGGATTTTTAACTTCTCTTTTGCTCACTCCATCTCCTTTGCATTGAAAGTACGGAAAGGCCAAATCAAACTGCCAGTTCACGCTTTTGGAGAACGTTAACCCATAAAGTGAATGCATAGCGGAAAAGTCACATTTTGTTAGATTCGATTCATTCAATTTCGAATCTCTACATGGTTAGGCAGCACATGCTACGCAAATGAAGCAGGGTCATAGTGTATTTCTGGACGTCTTAAGTAAGCGATAATGAATTCAGTTCTGTGAACTCTGTTGGTACTCGGTGCTGTTCATAATGCGCATGCGTTTTGTTTCATTGTTGATACGGATAATCTGTTTGTAAAGTGGTCAATAATTGTTGTCATGTTTGTTATAGCACTAAATATAATAAATCTCTACTTTGTCAAATTTGTCGACGGTCGTTTTAGATGGTCTGAAGAGTATTCAGTTTATTGTTTTAAGACTTAACAGGAGCTTCTATTCTTATAAATGGTAGTGTTCGGCGGTGATCGATCTCATATGAATACCCAGTGCATTCGACTCCATTCGTAGCACCGTAGAGTTAGTGGCGTGCACGCTTAGCTTATACAATGACTTACGATGTATTTAATCAGTGTTTTCATGTTCAGAAGCCAAGCTGGTACCAATTTGCCAACCATGCATTGAGTGATGAGGGACTTGGTTGGCTCGATTCGCGGGATCGAATAAACGATCGCGAGTATAACCCAGTGCATCTCAAATCCTTAAGGTAAACAACGGGCTCGAAGCCTTCGTGGGTTTCCTGGGCTTTGCCAGAACCTCCACAACCTTGTGATTGTATTTCGCGTAATAACCTACCGTGAAGGTGAAGAAATAATAGGCAGTAAATAAAGAGTTAAACACTGTGATTCCCGATTTTTAGTTTTTGGGACAAAGTACATTGGCATGTTTTCGAAAATGGTCATAACGCACGTACGTACAGTATATTTCTATACATTTTCTAAGATGAATCGTATTGCGCTGTCGTAGTTTTTGATGGAGCGAATTCCTTTAGTGCCATGACCTTCGGATGAAGCTCAGGACAGATTTGTCCAGTTTTGATCACCTATATCATCATATCTAGTCGAAGCACACAGGGAACACCATGTTACTAACATTTCTATTTTTATGGAAAAAAATAACCGTAGGTAGCTCGCTAAATTCTATCGTGGTATTATGGGGAATTGGTAAAAGAACTGCGCTGGCTGCATGGAATTGTTGAAGAGGATTTCGGCTTAGCTACCATCTTTCGTGATGTATACCGGTAGAGTTAATTCTCCTAGAAATCCCGAGATATTTGAGCGTTCCTAGATCTGCACTACACATCCATGCGTCGGTGTTTGCAGACATGAAAGAGCTTTCAACATGCAAGTCTGATACGAATCTGTTAGAAAGATGAGAGGGTTGGCTGGAGGAGATTCAAACCAGAGACCGAATCAGATTATGTTCATTATTGCAGTGCATCTCTAAGCACTGCGTTTTTCGAATTTCGATGTTTCAAGTAACACTCTATATTATTCTGAAATGCGTTTGAGAAAAGAAACGTGGAGTCCTCGTCCAACCTGGATAATCGAGGACCAGAGATGTCACAAATGAAAAGTCATGGGAGATTAATTAGCCCGAATATGAGTTGATGAGTGAATGAATGAAATATGAGTAAGAATATATACATGAAATATGAAACTGCAGGTCTGAATGTTTTCATCTCCATTTTGATTTATGACTCTGTTTAAAAAGGAGGAGAGAGGACTTAATAATGGTGTTTTACAAACAGTTTTCCACTACGGAAACCATAGGTTGTTTGGAAATGAGGAACAAGACTTTAGGGTCTTTATTCTTTTTTTTTTTCAAATTTTCTTTCAATCATGGGGCACACTATCGGCGGCTTTTTCGACAACGACACACCAGTTGCCATGTTCGAATGACGATCGAGTCACATTCAACGACGGGATCGAATTCACCAGGTTTTCGAGCTCATCTTTTTGAAAGACGTGGTAAAATCGATAGAAAGTGACCTGAAACGTCTATAATAGTTTCTTATCAAGACATCTATTATCATGCTTCTTTCCACTGCTGACTGCTGAACATTAAAATCGTTTCTTAAAACTGGTTGGATCTGTAACTTACTACTGAGCAGGACGTGTTCATTCTGTTGCGGATCCGTCAATTTTACACACTTTGTTTTTTTTTTACAAGAGTATTATGAACGGCGTGATCCCGCTTTTCTCTGTCTGCGGATCATACCAGTCATACATTAGTCGTTTAGATTGCTGCTATTGAAATTCGTCGTGACACCTTATCAATAAATAAACACCGCGTATACAATCACAATGGTGCTGAGATATTTGCAAAACTCCGCACCGTAGATGTCTGTGGTGGGGAACGAACCCGCTATCATTCTTCGCGGAGACTAACGCGTTCACCACCACACCATGCGGTATCCTTCGATTCGCCTGCTTCTCAGCTAGTTTTCTATCTATCTACCAGTGCCACGTTTGGTGGTGAATGCGTTAGCCCCTGGAAAGGTTAATAGCGCGTTCGTTCTCCACAGCAGACACCTGCGGTTTGTAGTTTTGCAAATACCTCAGCATCATTGTGGTTGTATTTCACACAGTACCTTGTCGTGAAAAATTGTAGTAGGCAGCAAATAAAAAGTTAACACCGTGCATACAATTATGCTCAACGATTATGTTATATCCGAAATGACCGATCTGAGCTTGACATACATTTAATAATGTTGTCAACGCAATACTAAGATCACAAATCAAAGAAACAATATTACAGGATCAAGGGAACTCGTCCTAAATGCATTTAGCTACGGCCTTGCGACATTCTGAACTACCATGTAAGAATGGTTTGAACTTAAGTGATTACGATATCTACCACATAGACGATAGGGTACATATTGTTTCTGAAGAGAGAGAAAAACAGTGGCGAAGTCCAGGGAATAGCGTCTTCAAGAGAGGAATATCAAACACCACTTTAATTTCTTTTAATATTCTCTCTTCCTATCCCTCACTTCTTGGAATATTGTTTCGCATCTTTTGTACTTGTTATGTTGTTAGGATGCTGTAAGGTGTAAGAACCAGTAATTCGTCCATAAATTCTGTTCATACGGATTATTCATCATGGATGATCATTTCTTCATAGCATTTTTCCTATCTTGGGAAAAAGCTGCCCTGGTATTTCCAACAACTTATGATGTCATCGTTTAACCCATGCCAAATTAAAAGTAAGAATAAGAATATAAGAATTACGGTATTCCAGTCGACTAAAACTACAGATATAAACATTCGGTAAATAAGAAGCGAATAAAGTGAAGACGAATCTTTACCTCACGAAGAGTGGCCATGGTTTCAGCGAACGCTTCATGCAAAATCTTTTGCGTAACTTCCTCGGCAAGTTGTTCTTCAACCGAAACGAGTAGCGTACTCAGTCGATGACCTGAAATAGGTAGATAGTCTGGCTTGGGATTCACCGGCTCGTTTATTCATCAAGTGAAAAAATTTCTATATGGAAACTAACCATGCCAGGACTAAGTAAAGCTTTGAAGGAAGCAAAATAATGCATGGCGATCATAAAAAGGTTAACTTGTCGTAGGTAAAGCACAGATATTTAAGGACTTCCATTATCATTTTTAAAAAGAAGCGATCAGGAGATTGTTCTCATAAAAAGGTTCGGCAAAACTCTTAGTGAAGCATTTACCAACCTAGCATTGGACTCCATCGATTCACTCCCGAAATCAACGAACGTTTGGTGTTTGAAAGGAATATTGGGGCAGCCGGTGGTGGTGAGATGGAAGTGGAAGGCTTCATAAACGTTGGCAACAACAACGTTCGTATCGCCAAGAACTGAAGAAGAAAGACGTCATGGTTATTTGTTTCATTTTCTACGTTTAAAATGACGCGGCTGTTTCTAGTATAGGGTATCTATTGAAATGCGAGATATCTTAGCACTTTCCCTGCGAAACGTTTCTGTTTATAGTTCGTCTACATATGCTGTGTATGAGTCACGTTGTGCTCCGCTTCGTTGTCCTGCATTTATCATCCATAGAGGTAATGGAGTCCATGCGCGAGTTCGGCTACAGCTGCAAGATTTATCTTTATTCTCTTCACTGACATATTTTAGTGGCATTCGAGCGCGACTTTTCCTGCAATCTCGAGAAAGCCTTTCCAGAGCGTTTCCAGTTCATCAACGTGATGGTGCAGGTTGTCGGGGACTAGTTTGCTTCCGTTGGAATAGTTTGGTGTTTCAGTAACTTTATCATGGGATTCTCAAGGTTCTCATGAATCATGTTCAAGTTAGAGTTCTCAATTTAATTTTAGCTTATTATTTACTGCCTACTCTATTTAATGGCAAGGTATCCATTGTGAAATATAACTTCAATGATGCTGAGATATTTGTGTCTGAGAGACAGGCGAAACGAAGGACCCGCGTGGTGTGTGGTGAACGCGCTACTCCCCGGAAAGGACGATAACGCGTTTGTCTCCCACCGCATACACCTGCGGTCCGGAGTTTTGCAAGTATCTCAGCATCATCTGAATTTAATGTTTATTAAAGGAGCGGGTAGCGAAATGGTAGTGATTCCGTTCGTGACGCGAGCGGCCCAATCTAACCAGGAGGTGGTGATTCGGTCACGCACCGCACCAAGCAAGCCTCTCATTCCTTCAGAGTAGTGAAATTTGTACCAGATTAGTCTGGGACGAGCTCACTACCCCTAGCCGACATGGGAATGCCTAACATGGCTATCTCAGAAGTCTAAGGAGAATTGACATGACCGGAATCCACTCAAACAGAAACCGAAGCCACACGAAAAAAGTTCGAAGACCCTCGTCAATGATGGCTGTGAGGCAGCAAATCGAATGCATGAAGTGCAGGATTCTGCAAAATATGATAGATGTTATGTCAAATGATGTATGAAATATTCTTCTTAAACGACCTATCTTCACATCTACGGTGTGGGTAGCGCAATAAAGCAGCATTGAAAAAAGAACTAAAATTAGTAATATTAATTAGAGATATGAGGGCGATCCAACGAGGAATGTTGCTTATGAAAAAATTTGCTTGGATTGCCAAAAACAAAAGGTATTTAGGAAAAATGTTATGAATGATCCCAGTAGCTTTGCGCACCTTGTTAACAACAGAGCTAAGCCATGAAGTGGAGCATAGAGCAGCTTTCTCATCGTCGACAGTAATTGGAATTGATGCCTATAAGCTGATTACGCTTTCGACAGTATTTAATAAAATTCCAATAAATCATTTGTATGGAATACCTTCTTAGATAGTTAAGCTAACACGAGAGATTCGAACACTTTTTTTTTATTTTTCATTAGCATAACCTAGACTCTTGGTTTTTTCTCCATGGAGTTTCACGTTAGCTAGGCCACTTCGTTCCCAGGTCATGTAGCAGGACTTGTGCCTTGGAAAGAGATCAATGACGAACCGCTTTCCGATTACGGTGGCGATACACGGGATAAGCTCACTTCCACTTGGAATTCTGGATGAAAATATTGAACGCCATCTTAATTTGAGCTCGCTTTCCGGATGGAAGGATTCTATGCTGCATATCTGCGGTTCGTCACCCAGAAACCACAACAATTAAGAAGAAAGCGTCAAGAATATGTGTAGAAATCCGAGTTTCCACAACATTCAAATAAACAAAATTAGCGTTTACAAGGGAGTATTTCCTCTAAGCATAAAGTAGAAATGTCGATAGCGTTTCCTTGACATATCACGCTCGAAATGGATTGAGTATAATGCATTTATTGGAAAATTAAGGCCCGTTTAGGTTTAATCGAGATGTCTGGGCCCATTCTGAAGTTTCTGGATCGAAGTAATCCATAGATCTTTGATCACAAGATGGAACTTTTAATTTCAAGTTCTCGAAAAACCAGCCTCGGTGGTTACTTTTCAAGCATCTACGTTGTTTTGAATTGTTGTGTGAGGAATATGCTAACGAAACGTTTTTTGTTTCATACTCGGTAAAATGCACCCAACTCAAATCATCTTTAAGAGTCTTCGATGATTCTGTTGTCAGCGGAAACCTGAGAAAATGCATTCATTCGTTTCATATCCGAAAAAGTTCCCCAGTTGTTTTTTCGTTCTCTTTTTTTTGTTTCTCTAATAGTGTCCATTAGTTTTCATGCTTTCTATTTCTCAGCTCTTTGAGGTTCAAATTTGTAACTGTAGCATAATATCACCTCTCGTCCCGTTGATTGTCGACTACCTCGAGCGGGCACCAGTAAGCCTTCCATTTCTTCCAGTCGCGATGAAGAGTGGCTGTGGGTTCTGCTCGATTCAATGACTTGTTGAGCATCATATCTTCGTTCTAAGGTTTCCATTAAGAACTCTGACCTCTGGCGAGAGGGAGGAGGGGGATGTGGTTTTCTTCCTGCAGTGCGTTTAACATCCTGAGGAATCCAGCCACTAACGGCTCAATCCATCGGGTGTCGCTCATACGCACTACGTCTTCGGCTCACCTTATCTATGACTGTTTGGCGTACGGAACGATATCTTTGATTTCTGATCATTGACGTAGATCGAAGATCCGAATCCCTTCCCGCACTTGCGTGATGTGGGACACTTCCAGCATCGTCCCTTCGACTACGCGTTGCAAAACGATGAGTGGTCGTCTTTCACACTGCTTACGCAGCGACCAGGTTTCTGACCTTTACGTTAAGGAAGAGACAACAGCGGAGTCGGGAAGTCTGACGCAGAGTGGGTGTTCTTTGTTCTCATCACTACGCTCTTGATTCCAAAGCCGCTCTCTTCCTCTTGCTCAACTCTGGGGATGCATCATTCATCATCATTTCTTGCCCTAAACAGAAGTAGCTAGAGCATTCGGTGATATTCATTCCGTTGGGTGAATGCCATACGAAAGCAGTTCGTTCTTCACAAACACCGTTTTTGTGAGATATAATCAAAAAGCAATCTTTCCAGAGGTGTTACCAAAGTCGGAGACCATTCGCCTGGCTAATGCTTGGTGTTATAAGGAAGATGTCACCAGTAAACTAAGAATGGTGTAATTGCCGACTATCGATTTCTACTCTCATGTTGTCGTATTAAAATGTTCTCATGACGCTCTCGAGGATGGGGTAAAGAATTTTGGAGAGATGGAATCGCCTTACATAGCGTCTCTTTTGACATCGATGTTAATATCGTTGTAGAATGGTGATATCTTCGTCGTGAAGTTTTTGTACAGCTCACGAAGAATCTTTATATATTGAATACGGACACCTTGACTATCAAGGGCTTCTATGACTGCTTCTATCTCAATTGAGTCAAAGGTCTTCTGTAAATCGTTGAGGGTGGGACAGAGCGGTCTTTTGTACTCTCGCGAAGCTCAAATGAGTTTTGTTATCGCGTGGGTGTGGTCCATCATACTAAATCCTTTTCGAAACCCTGATTCTCACATGGATGTACTTCGTCCAATGTTCTGTCAGTCCTTTTTAGGATGACTCAAGTGAAAAGTTTGTTGACGACAAACAGTAAGCAGACTGGGCGATAGTTGCCGATATCGCGTAGGTCACCCTTCTTGAACAATAACACGGTCTTACTGGTCTCCCACTAAGTAGGGACCTTGCATTCAAACAGGTAACGTGTGAAGAGTCGAGCCAGTGTGTTTACGAGAACTGGCAGAAGGTTCTTCAGGTGTTCTGGTCCTATCCTGTCCGGACCTGGTGCTATTTGATTTTTTACCGACGAAGTGGCATGTCGGTTTGGGAATGGAGAATCGGTGGGACGATATATTCTTGCTACTTCATTTCATATGAGGGCACGTTAGACGAGGCTTTTGCAGAGAATCGAGCAGCAATCGTTAATGATTTTCTTCATTGCCTTTCCTGAAGCTCTAACTGTTTCGTTTTGAGCGTCGGAGAGCAATCATCTTGGTTTTGTAATTGGTGAAGTTTCGGTGGGCCTTGCGAATGTTTTTCCTAGCAGCAATTACCTGGTCCTGTGTGGAATTTTGAGACAGTAGCGGCATTGATTAGTCGAAACCACTGAGTTACTACAATGTGGTCTACTTCGTTATGGTACTGTCCATTGGAAGACGCCCACGTCCAGTGCTGAGAGTGGGGCTTCCGGAATTGCAAGCTACCATGAATGGTCTTGGTCGCCATGATAAAATCAGACAACAGCTGACGCTGCTCGTTCCATTCTCACCCGTGGGTCACAATGCGGCGTTCATCTTAGTCCAGTCTTAGCGTTAAAATATCCAATGATGACATTAAAGAATGTATCGTCTTCTATGTAGACATTCTGTTAGCCCATATAGAAAGTTTCGATTTCGTCTTCATCAGACCTTAATGCCGGCGCTTGGGGGACGACGATTGTAAAAGCCGGTACTGATCCACATCTCTTCTGCAGTAAAGTCCGACTCAGGTTCTTAGTTGCTCCAATGGATCAGTGTTCCTGGCCAAACTAGTGTTGACGAGAACGTCGACGTCACTGATTCCTCTACCGTCGCATGTTCCGACGAGGAACAGTTCTTCTCCGGTTTCATAGACATCGTTGAATGGGTGGCGTCTTCTTGTCTGGACCAGTATGATGACGTCGTAGCTTGTGCTTTTTGCCTGCATGGTCAAGTTTTTTACCTAGGACTTAGGTGCAAGTGAGTGCGTCTTGTAGGTTGAGATCCTTACCTTAGTCCTTCACGATTTAATTACTCTAGAATATCCCTGAGATTTTAGCATCCTCTCCGTACTTGTCCTATACAACGCTGGTGTATCAGACTCTTTCGGGGTTAGGGAAACGCGGCTCGCTTTACTGTGTTTAGCTTCTTACATTCTCTGGAAGCTTTCCAGTTTCTTCCGGT